GACGACCTGCGGGGTGGTGGGGGGGGAGGAACCAGAGTCTCAGATGGGGTGGTGAGCATTCTGGAGGTGCTAACAGGATGTGAATAGCAGCGACAGGGGAGGAGTTCTGCGCGAAGCCTGGGTAGGGGTGTCCAGCGCCCCCTTCCTGCAGCTCATTGCTACCAGGGGCCCCTAAACGCCCTGTACAATGGGTCAGAGGTCCCCACAAGGTCATGGTCTGGGGGGTGTGGAGTTCACCCCCTTCCTTGGGGGCTTCTGCCTCTTCTTCCAGGCAGCCCTCCAGGCAGCCTTGGGCCACTTCAGTGCTACGGAGTAGAACCATTGGGCGACTTGAACTGCTCATGGGAGCCTCTTGGGGACCTGGAAGCCCCCATCATACTGCACTTCCAGAGCCAGAAATAGTGAGTACACCCGACTGAGGTGGTTTGGGGGAAACTGAGGCTTTAGAGGTGGCTGCCCTGACCCCAGCTCCCTCCGGTTGCAAAGACCCAGGGGCCCTGCCTCCAGATCTCCCCATTGACCTTTTCCATTCCAGGGTTCCTTCCTTCATCGCTGAGGGACCCTGGCCCAGTTGCTTCCCCTCTCTGTTCCCTCCTTTGACAATAAAAAGGACACTTACCACCCCGATTCTGAGCATTTAACGAGCTAGGTGCTTGGCAAGGAGGACATGCTTGAACATGAAAAACAACATTAAAAATTTTTTTAAAAAAATTCTTTTATATAGCTTTATTCATTTATTTATTTTAATTTGACTAGAGAGGAAGAGAGGGAAAGTGAGAAAGCAAGTCACCAGGTCCGGGACTCGAACCATGATGGGCCATGTTGGAAGTTTAGTGCTTTAATCACCATGCCACCTGTTGGCCCCCTCCCCGTTTTTTTTTTTTTTTTAATATTTTTGCTATAAGGGTGTATGTACTCGTTAGAGAGACAGAGAGAGAGAGAGACAAAAAGAGAAAAATCACACACCCCCCCCGGGGGGGGATGACCACGCCACAGTGTGCTCTCCTCCAATTCTCCTGGCGGGATTTTGGACACACATGACACGCACACGTGCCTGGCGTGCATTTCGAGCCCTCTGGTCCAAGACTTGAACAGTGGTTGACTCCGTGGGAGTCCAGTGACAGAGCCGTTACTCCATCTGCTGGTCCCAACTTGAAAAAAAATTTTTTTTAAATAATTATCTAATTTTTATTTATTCACTTATTTTTTAAATTGGACCAGAGAGAGACGTAGAGAGAGAGAAAGAGGGAAAGTGAGAAAGCAAGCCACCAGGTCCGGGACTCGAACTGTGGTCTGAGGCCTGGGACAGAGGCCTCGGTGCCCAGCCCAGTGTCTAGCTCACCCCTGTATTTTTTTGAGAGATTTTTGCTATAGGGCACTCACCAGACAGACAGAGAGAGACAGAGAGACAGAAAGCGAGAAATCACCCCCCAGGAGGGATGGTCACGCCGCAATCCCTTCTCCTCCATTCTCCTCTCGGGATCTTGGGCACGCATGCACACGCGCCCAGCGTGAGTTTAAGCCACCAGGTCCGGGACTCGAACCGCGGTCGACTACGTGGGAGTCCAGGGACATAGCCATTACACTAACTGCTGGTCCCAGCACCCCTGTATCTCTCTTCACAGTCATTCCTACAAGACCCAGGCTGTGACGGTGCCCACCGGGCAGAGCTGGGTGGCCATCCCGCGGACACGGTTCACCATGTTTGATAAACTCCTGGTCTGGGGGACCGAGGCGGGCCGGCCTCTCTGGTCCCCAGTCTTCGTGGACCTGGAGACCCGACGTAATACAGCTGGACGGTGGGGCGCCGTGCGTGTATGGAGGGGGGCCGTGGTCCTGCATGGCCCAGCTCACTGCACCCTGTCTTTCCCTCCCCAGTGAAACCAAACACCCCCTGGCTGTCCCCGGATGTGGGCTTCTCAGACGCTGACCCTCTGGATGCCACCATTCACTGGACACCACCCACGTGGCCCTCCCATAAAGACCTGTTGTGCCAATTCCGCTACCAAAGATGCCAGGAGGAGACCTGGACCTTGGTGAGTGTCAGGCCCGTTGCCCCCTGACCCATTCTGGACACGGCCTGGGGCATTGTCCCCAAACCAGAGACTCAGCCCGGGGCTCATTAGGAGTGTGTCCAAATCCCACCCAAAAGCCAGCACAGAGCAGTTGCATGGAATGCTCTAGGGGACAGTCCCACTGGGAAAGGGTCCCGGTTCAAATCCTGAGATCGCCCTAAGGGCCTGGGTGGATTTATGAGCCAAGGCTGGCCAAGGCTGGGGGTGGATCACAGTGTCAAGACCCCGCTGGGCTACTTTTTTCTTTTTTTAAAATTTGCTATAGGGGGGACCAGTAGTTAGCATAATAGCTATGTCACTGGACTCCCATGTAGTCGACCACGGTTCGCGTCCAGGACCCCGTGGCTTAAAACTCACTCCGGGCGCGTGTGTGTGCATGTCCAAGATCCCGAGAGGAGAATGGAGGAGAAGGGATTGCAGTGTGACCATCGCCCCTGGGGGGTGATTTCTCGCTTTCTGTCTCTATGTTTCTCTCTGTCTGTCTGGCAAGCGCACGCGCCCTATAGTGAAAAAAACCTCTCCAAAAAAAAAAACAATTTGCTATAGGGAGGAATCAGCAGTTGGCTTAATGGCTATTGCGCTGGGCTCCCATGTACTTGACCACAGTTCAAGTCCCAGACCCGGTGGCTTAAAGTCACGCCGGGCGTGTGTACGTGCGTGCCCAAGATCCTGAAGAGGAGAATGGAGGAGAAGGGATTGCGGTGTGGCCATTACCCCTGTAGGGTGATTTCTCGCTTTCTGTCTCTCTGTCTCTGTCTGTCTGGCGAGCACACACGCCCTATAGGGAAAACCTCTCCAAAAAAAGAAAATGTGCTCTAGAGTACTTATGCTCACTGGAGAGAGACAGAGACATGGGAGTAGAGATGAGAAACCCCCCTGCTGGAGGATAGTCACACCATGATCCGTCTCTTCCATTCTTCCCTCGGGATTTTGGACATATATATATATATATATATATATATACACACACACACACACACATACACCTGGTATGTATGTTTTTCTTTCTTTTTTTTTTTTTTTGGCGTGATGTTGGCTATACGGCGCGTGCACCCC